ATGAGTTCTTATTTTGTTTTTTTAAATGATATTATTTTAGGGGACGTTTGGTAAAGGAGAATTTTTTTTACTCAGAAATATGTTGGAAAAGTAAATTTCCCGGAAATGTTACCAAAAAACTGTTTAGTAAGTTAAAATATTTCCAAAAATATTGGATCAATTTTCTTGATATTATATTTGGTAGATTGTAAATATTATTGAGAATGTGAGGTGATTTTACAAAATTATCCTTTATAATTAAGTAAAAGTGAGATAAGGATGTACGGGTTGTGCAGGTCAAAGACTTGAAGACTGTGGGTGTGGCTACTTTTCCTAAGAAAAAAAACTAGCTTTATTAATTTCTTCCATAACCAGAACCAGAAACCCCTTTCTCTTATGTTGTTTTTTCTTTTTCTCTCATACCTCTACCTCATTTTGTAGCTTCTTCTTAAATATGGGGTATGTGTGTAAGTAACAAAATCTCTCTGCACCCAACACATCATTGTCTCCCTTACATCTTTCCATTTTTTGTTCTCATATGGATTTGGGAAATAGTGGGAGTATGCAATCCTCAAGTGGTGGTGATGAAGAGTACGATTCACGCGCCGAATCAAATATCCCTGCATTCTTAAACAACAACCCACCACAACAAAGCCATGTTGGTTCCTTGACAACCACCACCGTCACTACTAACCATCTAAACCCACAACACAACCACCACCAACTGAAAGGAAAATGTAAGAGGAAGAGACGAAGAGAACAATAGAGAAGAGAGTTTAGAGGTATTATTGTTTGAAAAATTAGTTAATATTTTCCCACCACGTGAGATGTTCAGAATATCACTCCTGTGTTAGTATTCTTATATGACATTTTGGAAGAAAATTTGCACAAAAAATAAAATTTCGAAAAAATTAGATTCCAAGAAGTTTTTTCAAAAATCTTATGTTAAATATGGATAAATAGAAATACCACCGTCACTTTTCCGGAAATTTCAAAAAATTCCTCCGTGTCTAGGAATTTTGTTTTTATTAGTCGCACTCATAGCTTAAGGATTATGTAATCTGTTGTTTGGGGCAATGTCCTTTCCAACTTCCAAAAAAACAAAAAACAAAAAAGAAGAAGAAGAATTTTTAAGTAAAAATATCAATATTGTTAAAACCATACTAAATAATAAATTGAGAAGACATCCCATTCATGTTCAACTCTTCAAATTGCTTAGTCGAAATCATACGATGTTATAAAAATGATTTACAAAAAATAATATGAGATGTATAAAAAAATATAAATTATGAAGAAAAAAAAATTATTTAAAAAATATATTCATGATCTGTTGGTTCAATGTAATAAACTAATTGGTTCAACTAAGTTTTGATTTTTTTTTAGATTCCTCATGAGTAATTTGATTATTAATTTGTATGAAACTAAGTAGAGATCCTCTTATGTTAAAAAAATATATGACATAATCATGTGGAGAATCATAACCATACAAAGATAGATCAATGGTAATAAAGGAAGAGAGAAAAAAAATATTGAAATAGGTAATTACAAAATAATAACAGTTGATTCACTTGGTATGATTGTGATCTTTCCACGTAATCATGTCATTTTTTAACAATATTGAGACATACTAATTAAATAGCCATATCCTACATTTGTTAGCATCATAAGGAGACTGAGTCGCATTAGTTTCTCAGGATGTATCGTAGCTAGCTTTTCAAAAACATGATTTGTTTTTAGCTTTTCAACTTTATGTTTTATATTTTATTTTCGATAAATTACAACATATTTGATATCATTGGGTGAAATTAATCATAATTAGTGATTATCTTGGCGACCGATAATAGTAGTACGATAGATGATCAAAGCAGATAGCTGAACTTGAATGTTTGCAATTGATTCAAATTAATGAATAATAATAAAGATACCAACAATACTCTACATCTTCTCGAGAGTAATTTGACATGAGAATCAAATACTAAATTCTTACAAGAAATAATAAAATTCTATATTCAAACCCGAAGCAAGCTATCATTTGTAATAGATCACAGGCTTATTGGAATTCACATCCCACATGCCTCCTTCCTTGAGATACTCAAGATACCTTGCAAATTCAGGCTTAGCTGTTGTTTTCTTTTTCCTACGAAGATCCAAGAAACTAAGGAGTGGGTGACTCTTCTTGTTGCTATTGTTACCCTTCTTTGTGGGGTTTCTTTGTAGATTGATGTTCCCAAAGGTTGAACCTAGAGCCATTTTTCTTGAAGAACTGGATGCACGAGAAGGCAAACTTGTGCTCCTCTTGAACCCTTCATTCAAAAGTGCAGTGGAAGCAGATTCTTTTCCTAATATCTCATACCTTCCAGGGCCTCTCCTAGTAGTCAAGGATCTAAACATGGCTGAATCCTTTTTTGTGAAAGATAAGATTTTGATTGATGAAATCGCAGTGTAAAGATGTGAAAGGAAAAGGGTTGGTGGGGAATTGCAGATGAGAGAACTTGGAGTAGCACAACGTAATGAAATGCTTTATATAAGCATGTACAAGGTCAAGTTTGGTTTGCTAGTAGTTTGGTCCTTGTGTTTTTTTATTTAAATAATGTATCACGTTTTGAATGTTTACTAGGCTCTGTGATTTGAAAACATGATTACTTGTGCACTTGGTGTTGACTTTTCTGCCGTACACACATATCTATCCATAATTATATCAAGTTTTGAGCTATCTACTACCACGAGAGTTCCGAGAAATATAATAAAAGATATGTATGAAAATGACATTTTAGTTTTTTTGGGTATACCAATATTGATTTTTTCAGTCAAACTGCCCCTAACACTTAACACTGTTCTGCCTTTTAAATTTTTATTGCCTGCACATTAGACAATGAAAAATTCAAACAAAGTGCTGAGAGTAGACAAGATCAGTTTGAATGAGGCAATCAAAACAAAAATGTTAATGACTTGGTCTTGTTTCTAACTGCAACTTTGTGTAAATTCTAAACAACTAACACTTGCTTATTTGAAGTTGATTGTTTAATTTTGTAATTGTTTTCTTTGCCTATGAAAAACTTATGATGAACCTTTAAGATCGAATTTAAGTCATTAAATCCATCCAAATGAGTTTACGGAAAAGAAGGTGGGCTCCATTTGTGAAGGCAACCAAACTGGCACATTATTAACTATTCAACTAAGAAGAGATGCATGACAATCATCTTGAAAATCGGGCAATCACACAAAATCGACAAAAAAGAAAAGAAAAGAGAAAAGAAATTGACACAATGATTTATCTTAGTTCATCTAATATAGGCTACGTTCAGCTTGTCTGTATTATATTCACTTTACCGTCACTCTTTCCAAGTCACTCGGTTTACCAGAAGAATATAAATAGAATTAGAAAAACCCTAACAACAGCTATTCATGGGCCCAAGTCCAAACTACTAAGAAAATTACAATAGATCAGACGCCCACAATAGTACCTAGTCTCTACAAGCCTAAGGGCGCTGCTCCCCGAACCCCCGCCGGGGCGGCTCCTCCGGACTCCCACCAGCTCACCTGGGAGCGGGACTCCAGTTGTCTTTCTGCTGATCCCGACAACAAGGGCCCTCGTAAGCATGCGAAGTAAGAGTCATACCCAACAAATCACACTCCACTTCGACTATGAACTTATTCTTGACTATGTAGTAGGTTTTATGAGTTACACAAATTTGACCACTTTGATGGAAATATTTAAAAAAAAGTTGAGTTACCCTACTCAATCATATCATGAAATAGGAAAATACAGACCTTATTTCTTCCGCTTTACCATGTCAGCCTAAGATGTCTGGCAAGAAGGTATAATGCTGGACCTGGTTTTCTACACTCAACATCTAGTGCTTCGCAATAAGATAATAGCACAAAATCATTTGATGAAAACACAGTGGTCCAAGTTACTAACTACATCCTCATGTTTCATCTCTTCAATAACCCTTGTTGATTCACCCAATTACATATAGATGGAAATTGGAACACGTCTTTGAGATCAATTTTGATAACGGCTCCAGAACCTATCCATAGGAGTTGCTATGATACTTTAGTTCTTTTTCTAGGTATGGTACCTTGATAAGTTGTCACAGGCTTATTAGCTTGCTTTTCTCCCAATAAATGTCAGAAATTCATATAGTAAAACAAACAACCTAAAAATGTTGGATACATAAATACCGATCAACAAAGAGTATAGAAAAAAGATGAATACCAAAATTATATATCAACAGTGCACCATGGACTTGTGCATATATATAGAAAATACGCCTTGATGCCCCTCATACTTAGAATTTCTTTGATTTTATAAATAAAATAGGTTTTAGTTTACTTGCATAACATAACAAACTACCACACAAACCCCCTTAATAAAAAAGTAATAACTCAAGACTATCCACCCCCAACATCAAGACCGAATTCTGATTATGTCGCAGATCAGATGAATTGCCCGCCCAAATCTGTTGACCGGTATCACTTCAAAGTTGAATCAATAAAATATCTAAATCATCTACTAAAAATAAAAAATCTAAATCAAAACAATTAGATTTAAATGACATCATATAACGCGACAGCAGTTTTGAATAATATTAGAAATAGGAAATAATTTTAAATATTGAGAGGTTATTATTTCTTTAGCCTTCTATTATTGGAAATATAGGCATTCGTTTGTTACAGAAAAAGTCAGCGCATTATTTTAAATAATATGAGAGTTGTTTTCCCCAAATTATAATCACTCACTTGTTTATGATCAGTTATATAACACGAACGCTAGAAAAACTTGCACTACTCACTCAGCCCCTGTTAACGTCTCTGATTAGCAACTAACCTTGAGAAACGCTAAAGAATAATCAAAATTATGATCAACAAATTTTCGTCTTACTAAACTCTGACATCCAGAAACATTCAGCCAATTTTGTGCAGATTTATGGTGTTTTATATCCTTAAAAATGATTCAGATTAAAGAGTAAGAACAGGGATTCCCAAGAGTTTGTTCGGTCATAGAAATGCCAGCCTAGTCTTATATATGCTTTTGTATATATTTACTAGTGAATTTCTTAATTTCTTGCCTCTCGTGGGATGAATATTTCTTACATATAAATATTCAGGGAATATTATCACAGAACGTAGACGATGATAAAATAATTACTGAGGTATCCGACTACAGGATTGCGACATTCCCAGGGAAGGGAACTCCTCCATTGGAAAGGTCCACACTCAAAAACAGAACAGGGTGTGCTATCGCTCTTCTGAGTTGAATTTGTTCCAAGCTTCCTGTAAAATAACGAAAAGAAAGAAAGCCAAAATGAGAGGGAGATGATAATAGCTAGTTAATGAAGTGTCAGATGTTTTATCCAACTACAACGTTCTGTCATCAGATGAAGTGGCGTTGTATAGACCAACTTGCCAAGTATAAAAAGCAAGAAACAAGGCCCGGATGAATGAACATCTATTGAAATTCAAGCTTGTGGTATCTGCGTACTAGTGTATTTGCATACTTTCATATGCAATGCATTTGTGATGTGCATGCGCACCTGATAGATTTGAATTTCTGCAACAGCATTATGGTTTGCTCCGGCAAAACTTATACACTACTGATTTAAAATAATTTCACAGCCAAATCACCTATGAAATGGTTCATATAAATAAAAAAACTTGGTGAAATATGACATGTCTAACATACCTTTAATAGATCGAAGACTTTTTCACATATGTATTTGTGCTGAATACTTGCTCCACGTTGTTGTAATTTGTCAGGATGAACACAAAGGGTGGCCTTCCTGTAAGCTTTCTTTACAGCAGCAGAAGTAATGACCTCCGTGAGTGGGATTGGCTGCCACCCACTATCAGGCCCAAGGATCTGACAAGATGGAAAAATTAGAAAAGGAAACATGTATAGAGTATATGGTTTACTCAGGATAAGCAATAGACAACGACAAAGGTCTCAAACAGAGGGAGAAAAAAGGAGAGGATATAAGGGAGTTAAGAACATCAGGAATCAGGATTAAGCAACTAATTGATTCAATCTCATCTGTTTGAGTCACTTAGAGGACCTTCAAATAACACCCCCTACTGTGTGCGTGTAAAACGAAGTTGGGGGTAAAGGGAGAAAGGAGCAGCAAATGCACAGCTATTTCAGAATAGGAACACCTACATATTGCAAAGTTGAAAGTAATGCACGCAAGTTTCCTTCTTTTCCACTTGACCACCTCCTGACTTCAGCATCCAGGGTCTCCGCTAATCTCTGCAAAGAGCATCAGACTCGAGTAATCAATGAAAGGCAGAAACAACAATTCAGAACCTTTTATAGAGCAATTGTTTGAATATATGCTTACATTTCTCTCAGCTTGCTCCTTTTGAGCTAGTAGGTCGCGCACGTTCTTTTCTTCCAAAGCTTTTGCCTGAGATTTCCATAAAATTCACGGTTAAGATAATTTCTTATAAGTACAACATAAGTGTGATTAATATTAAAAGAATGAGATCTTACAGCACGCTCAGCTGTTCGGCGATGCCTCTCCAGTCTAGCTCTACACCTCTGAGCTGATTCACCTTCTCTTTCTGATCTCTCAGAAAAAGAGGAAGCTTCAAGCAAAGGCCAATATCTGGTTAGGATTATATGAAGTGGATGCAGTAAAATGTTTGACAGTTTATACTAAAGTACTGCTGGGGTGTCGCATATCACATACCACCATAAACTGAGGAATATGGATAGTGGGAACCAGTGGAAGAACTAATGCTCTGAAAATGTGGATCCAGCATATCCTGCCAATTAAATCATTGGAAATTAAGAAGGAAATCATGCAATTTACAACTAGCAGATTAAAGTGAATACTTACTGAGGATGAAGAGCCCTGTCTTCCATCATTTCTGAAAGAAACACCAAATTTTTCAGATACGGATCTCTCTAATCGTTCTCTGGACTCAAATGCAGCCCTCTCAACTTTTACTTTTTCCATTGCACGCTCTCGGGCCTCTGCAGTTGCTCTTTCTACAGCAGCACGCTCTGCTTTCAATCTGGCCTCTGCAGCTGCCTTATCAGAATATGATTTGTCCCTGGCCTCAGCACATGCCTTTTCGAGTCTTTCCCTGGCATCAGCCAGTGCTCTTTGTCGAGCTTCTGCAGTTGCTCTCTCAAATGCAGCCCTTTCTGCTCTTTCACGAGCTTCAGCATATACTCTATCACGAGCCTCAAAAGTTGCTCTTTCAACAGCCATTCTATCCTTTTCTCTTTCCCTTTCCCTCTCAGTCTCCAGCATTGCTCTGTCAACAGCCATTCTGTCTTTTTGTCTTTCTTTTTCTCTCTCCATCTCCTCTTCTAACTTTCTAAGACGATCTTTTTCCAATTCTCTTTCTCTTCTCATTCTTTCAGCATCTTTCTCTACTGAGGAAGGAGTTTCATTAAGATTCTTCTCTTTGCTTTTAGTGGAATGGGCTAAATGAGGCCTTTGAGAAGTTTTCTGGACATTTGAAGCTTCTTGCATTGTTGCAAGTTCATCTGCTACAGTGTTCCCTCTGTAATCACCACATGTGTTTACTTCACTTGATGACATTTGCTCCCTGCTTTCTTCATTGTTTAGTGCAACATTCCATTGCTGTTTAATCCTTCCTCTCTCGCTCCATTCATGAGTAATTCTCCCCTCTTGTCTTTTAGGATCAAATTTCATTTCAGGGACTGTCTTAGTTTTCTTTGTGCATGTCTGCTCACTACTAAAACCAAGTTCATCCGTGTATGTCATACTGTAATCCACCTTTCCTGATTGTGTCCCTGAACTCTCTGCTATTCCCGGGGGCATTTCAGAATCTCTTTTGTTCCCATTAGCCAGTACATTTTCCGCCCCTACCTCTTCCAATTTCTTCTCACCAACATTGCAGTCAGCTCCTGTCTTTCCAATTTCTTGGTCAGCAATAGGTTCTTGTGATGCCTCTTGTTCTTCAATATTTTTTACATGAATGGAGGATGAGTGAGCTGCCAGAAGATTTTCATCACTCACCGGTTTCCATGTCTCTTTGGTTTCTTCAACAAACTTCATGTTTATCCTTTCTCCATTCCCTTCCATTCGCTCTAAAGATTTGTCCAATCCCTTATCTTTTTCATTCCTAACAGCATCTTTGAGTACCTTCTCAGATTGCTCGAAGTGACTATAGTCATCTGATATATCTACACTTCCTTCCCTGTCAAATGTTTGGTTTGATGGGCTCTCAATTTCTTTTTTCCTCTGAGCCTCATTTCCAGTATTCCTTTCTAGCTCTGGAGCTTGTTTCAGAACTTTCCGAATCCCTCTGCTATCACCTACTTCTTTAAGTTTATATCCTTTTCCATACCCATCACAAACCTCTCTAAATTTCTCCTCACCCTGACCTCTTTCACATACCTCAAATTTCCGCAGCTCGAAAGCCTCTCTAGTTCTTTTCTCACTCATTTCAGATTCAAAGTCTTCTTTAACTCCATTTTCATTCTCTACCAGCCCAAGAGCATGCTTTAGACCTTCATCACTTTCTTCCTTTTTAATAGAACCATTTAGGCTTTTCTCAATTTCTTTGGTTTCACATGCCTCTTTCAGTCCTTTCTTGTTCTGAAGCTGTTTTTCTTGTTTTAAGATGAATTCACTTTCTCTTTTGCAAGCTGCAATTTCCTCTGGGCTATCCAGCTTAAAAGCCTCATTTGATCTTTCATCAATTTTTTCCAGCTTCACAGAATCTTTCACTTTTTCCTCACCCTCTGCTTTTTGAATTTTTCCATTTTCTTTCATTTTCTGTGACCGTCTGTGCCTTTTCACATTCAGCCATTGTTCTTCATCCTCTTTTAGTTTCTTTTCATTTTCCTTAAGCTTCATGCTCCACTGAACATCACTTAGTGTTTGTTTCTCAACCTCTTTTGATTTCTCAATTTCCACATTTTTAAGCTCCTTGCATTGTATCTCAGAAACATCTTTTAAGCTTCCTGATTGGCCAGCTTTGGTTACTTTCTTTTCAGTTTTCCCATGCTGGTGAACCATTCTTGCCTTCTTCTCACTCTTTTCTAACTCAAAGATTTCGGTCATTTCATCATTTTTCACATACTCTCTTTGCCTGCATTCCTCATTAGATGATTTAGATCTCCTAATGTTTTTGCCCTGTTCAAAAGCCTCTTTTACCGCTTTAGATTTCTTCTTGTATTCCTCCAGCTGATTACTTTCCGCGATTGCTTTTACCTTTTTGTATTCTTCTTGAATATTAGATGCTTCTCTTTCTTTCCTTCCACGGTCATATTTTCTGTTATCTTGCACCAAACTCTTAGCATGATTTATGGGCTGAATTAACTTTCCAGATTCTTCTGTTCCCACCAATTCCAAAAATTCAGTTGCTTCTTTCCATGTCCCAAATCCAGCACTTCTATTTGATTCTTGAGATGACCTGGATTCCTTGATGTGCTTTTCCTCAAACATGTTTAAAAGTCTTTCCCCTTCCAATGGTTCTGGAGTTTCTGGGACAGCCTTCCTAGCTTTCCGCTTTTCATCTGTGGCAGAAATTCTCATTTTGCCAGAACCCGGATCACAAGTTGCCTGAATTCTCTCACCATTCAAACTATTAAATCTAGTTATATTCTCACTCATCTTTGGTCCCTTATTTTTTACATCATAACTTGATTTTACATTGCTTTCAAAATCTCCCTTCTTTCTCTCCTTCATTTCTTTGGCACTCATAAGTTTCGGTTCAGGTCTATGCATTGCTACTTTCATAACAGCGGCAGATGAATTCATATCAACCTCCACATCATAGAAAGGCGGTGAACTGTCGCCTAGGGTCTCTTCACAATCAACCCGCTCATTGTTTGAATGAAATCCACTAGTGTACCCCTTGTTAGCATCTAATAGAGGTGGTAGCCGAGAAGGGGGCGGCACTTGAGAGGGTAGAGTTCTGAGGCTGATGTCAGACACAGTTATGAACGTCTCACTGGAATGAGAACCAATTTTGTTGCATCCATCATGCAGATTAAGATCACTACTACCAAGAATCTGTTCACCAGAAGTAAAATTACATGGATGTGAAACCATTTTCCTCGGATAGTTTCTCTTTGCCTTGCTTGCATTAAATTCCATATCAAGGTCAATATCATCAACAACCTGTAAGGATGGATCAGTCCTATGGAAGCGTGTGGTTTCATCAACTACATGAGTGAAACCAGGAACAGTATGCAGCTGAGTTATGTGAGTTTTCCCCACCTTATGATACAAAAGGTTGAACTCTGTACTTCCATCAACAGACTGGAAAATATCTCCGCTGGATATGCCTTGATTATTTCCAAAATGATCAAAATCTCCGGAGAATGAATCAGTTTCCACTGGAGTCCTACCAATGATAAAAGAATATGATTATATTATTGCAATATCATATTCCAAACTCAGTAAATTAAAATAAATCTTCAAAAAGAAGAAAGATAGAAGAAAGACACAGTCTACGGAAAATTTGAAGTTTCAGAAATACACTGACAACAAAGCTCGGAAATAAAAAACATGTAATTAAGAAATTTTGCAAATATGCATAGAAATACTGTAGAACAGACAAAATGCATTTGGCAGATACCGTGAGTCCATATATCATATATATCAAAATCGAAAGAGTTCACTAGTTAATCGACAAGACTTTACTTCCCATAACTGATTTTGAAGATTAAAACCTTAAAAAACGAAGCAGCATCTTCCACTCTCAGTAAAGAGCAACAAAATTTCTCAGGGAAATAAACCATTGAAATCCAGAGAACCATAGTTCCTTAACCACAAATCATCCAGCATAATATTTTACTTTTTATAAACCAACAACTACGTTAATAACTGAAATCATAGACATAAACCAACACTATATTGCACAAACTCATTATCAACAACTACGTTAAACGCCAGAGCTGAAACAGACAACAATTGAGTTTCCACTACGCCATAAACAAAACCAAATCCAATACGTGAATGGATCATGCATTTCATCAAACACTGAGAATCAAACGATAACACTAAGACCACGATCGCATTCATACCAGGCTTCTTCTTCTTCTTCAGAGACACCGTCACGAAACAATTCCTCGTACGAGACGCAAAAATCTAGGCCGTCCGAACCTCCGAATACCTCGGCGTAGTCGAAGGCGGAGCTTCGGAAGTCGACGAAGACCTCGCCGCCGTCGACCGCCGGAAGATCCAATACCGGAATGGAGGAGGCCCGAACGGCCTGGAAGCTCGCGAAAATCTCGCTGTAGTCTTCGAAGCGAGGCGAGAGGGTGGTGGCGGTGGCGGCGGCGGCGAACTTCGGTGGACCACCGTAAACGTCGTCGTATAGAGTCTTAGCCGAGAAGCCACCGGTGCTGCCGCCGTTGGTGATTTTCTTGGAATGCGTAACGGAAACCTTGTTTGGTTGCCGAGAATGCGCCACGCTTTCCATGAAAATGGTGGTCTCTAGGGTTCCGTTTTCTCTTTCTCTCTCTACACTCTCACTCTGTTTTTTCTTTAGTTTTGTTTTGTTTTGTTTTCTCTCTCTGTTACTTGTTCTGGCTCAGACACTGTTCGGCGTCAGAGGAGGACGACGAAAGAAGGAAAAAAAATGAGTGTAGAAATTGAAAATGGGAAAAGGTGGTGGTGAACGCGAAATGACCAAAAAGGGCTTTCGTATTTTTTTATTTATTTATTTTTTTGCAAATTAATTTTATTTTAAAAAATAAAAAGTGATGCGATGTTGTATCGACAGAGATTTTTTTAAAATTTTTTAATCCTTCGTAAGTCGTGTGCCCCAAAATATTAATAAAACAATTAATTAATCGAATAATTAAAATAAGGAAAAGAAAGGTGTAGCCGGTGACGACGCGGGAAAGATGAAGAGTCGTTAAGGTTGATGTTAACGAGATTGAGACATCTTGCTACTTTAACGCGTAAAAGATCTTCTTAAATCATAATGAAATATTTATTTGAATTAATTATAATAAAGAGAATAGTGTCATTTTAATTTGAATTTATTTTTTTAATTTTTATTTCAATTGCAATTATTATAAGAACGTGTCCACCCAAATAAAAATTTTATCGATTAAAATGTGTGTGACTGAAATTTATAGAGTTCATAAAATCAAATAGACAAAAATTAGTGCCAGAAAATTTCAGCAGAACAGTATTGTTTGATATATAGTTTGGTGGGAATCTGGGGGTCCTTGTGTCTTTGCAACAAAACAAAACCAAGACCGTACCATTTTATTTGGAAGTTAGAGACAATGGTGACGACGCTTTGATACAACGTCGGAGCGGAATATACTATATATGCTAGAGTGCACGAATTTTTTTTTTTTTTTTTTTTATGAACATGTGAATATTATCATTCAATCTTTTGGACCACCTTATCTTCGGAGTACAGCTCAAATGTTACATCTTCATTGAAACATGTCCAATGACTCTAAAAATTTACTTTGACGAGAGTTTGAACTCATGACCAAAGTAAATCCGAATTCAATTGCCAATTGAGCTTCAGATTTTTTTTTAATAGCATGAATTAAATTATTTTTGCACATTTTTCATAAAATTACGTGAAATGTGCTTTTACATAATAGAAATTACCTGCAATTCCTCCTTAAGAGATGGGTGTCTCGTATGCTAAAGTGGTGAAGATGAATGAGATGTGTGGTTTGAGGAGGAGCTTGTTGAGATATATAGTCCCACATTGATTTAAAACTGTAAAACTGTACATCAATGTATCTTAAATAGAATAGGTTGTTACGGCTGTTACTAAACAGTCTGTTACCAAATAGTAAAACAACTTCCTAAAGATAAGTAACTACACCTAATTACAATAGGACTCAGTTATACATATCCTAACAAACTACAGGTTACAACATATCACAGCAAATCATAACAACATATAGAATCTTCTATTCCAACACTCCCCCTCAAGTTGGAGCATGAAGACATGAAATGCCTAACTTGGAAAGAACGGCAAGAAATGGAACACGACCAAGTGCTTTGGTGAAAATGTCTGCGAGTTGCAAATGAGAACGAACAAAAGTAGTTCGAATCGTCTTAGAAACCAACCTTTCCCGGACAAAATGGCAATCAATTTCAATGTGTTTAGTTCGCTCATGGAACACAGGATTTGCCGCGATATGTATAGCGGCTTGATTATCACAACATAATTCCATAGGATCATCATGGATAACATCAAGTGAAGCAAGAAAAGACTTCAACCATATCAATTATGCTGTCGCGGCAGCCATGGAGCGGTACTCAGCCTCTGCTGAGGAGCGTGAGACAGTGAGTTGCTTCTTTGTTTTCCAAGAAACAGGTGAGGTTCCAAGCATAATGAAGAACCCAGAAACTGACCGGCGAGTTAAAGGGCAGCTGGCCCAATCTGAATCACAGAAAGCATGAATTTTGAGATCACTTTTGGAAGAAAGGAGGATACCTTGGCCAGGATTCATTTTGATGTATCTTAGTACCCGAATGGCAGCCTCATAATGTGCTTCCTTTGGAGCTTGCATGAACTGTGAAAGAGTGTGCACTACATAACTCAAATCAGGACGAGTGATCGTAAGGTACACTAGCTTGCCGACAATTCTTCTATAGCGACCTGGATCATCATAGTCAGGTCCATCTGCCAGAGCTAAGCGATGATTCTGTTCAATTGGAAACTGAACCGGTTTACAATCCAACAAACCTGTTTCTTTGAGGATATCTAATGCATATTTTCGTTGGCACAAGAAGATACCCTCATTGCTACGGGCAACCTCGATGCCCAAAAAATATTTCAAGTGACCCAAATCTTTAATTTTAAAACACTTGTTAAGATAAATCCTAACCTCTTGACATGCTTGGGAATCATTGCCTGCCAACACCAAATCATCAACATAGACTAGTATGGTCAAGAAGGTAGAACCACGCTTCAAAGTGAACAAAGTGTGATCTGCTTCGGATTGAACAAAACCGTATTTAATAAGTGAGGAACTCAACTTTGCAAACCAATTCCTGGGAGATTGTCGTAAGCCATATAACGACCTTTGCAAACGACACACTTTTCTTCCTTGTCCTTGATTAAAGCCTGCCGGTATGCGCATATACACTTCTTCGTCCAGTTCTCCATTAAGAAACGCATTATGAACATCCATTTGGTGCAAGTACCAACCTTTTGCAGCTGCAACCGAGAGTAGAGTTCTAACACTCACCATTTTCGCTACAGGAGCGTAAGTTTCATGGAAATCTTCTCCTGGAACTTGATGATTACCTGCAATTACCAACCTTGCTTTGTAGCGCTCGATGCTACCATTGGAATGATATTTAATTTTATATACCATTTACATGGAAGGGCATGTTTGCCTGCAGGTAAATCAGTGATAGTCCACGTATTATTTTCTTCTAGTGCATGTATCTCCTGAGCCATAGCTTTACGCCAAACATCATTGGTCATTGCTTCTTTAAATGACCGAGGTTCACTACCTGCATCAATAGCAGCAACAAAAACTCGATGTTTTGAAGAAAAATTGTTAGTATTCACATAGTTGGCAATTGGATACCGTATACCTGAGGTGGAGCTAGAAGAGGTGAGACTGGGAGTGTATGTATGTGCCTCAATCAGATTACATTTGTAGTTACTCAAATAGGACGGAGGCCTTCGTGTGCGTGCTGGACGAAGAGAATCGTTTTGAGCTGATTCTGCACTTCTTTGCACAAGTTCGTGAGCTGAATCTTCATTCCTTTGTACGAGAGCAGGAGCTGGATCCTCACTCCTTTGCACTTGATCAGCATTTGATGTAGAATCTTCATTCGGCTCCCTTTCAGACTGATGGACACTCCCCCTATCTTCCAACTGCACTTCTGCCTCACAATCATTTGAAGTTGATTGAGATACTGGATTGGCAGAATCATTAGAATCTATTGGTATAAATGTAGGTAATGATGGGCTAGGTGTAGGCACACTTATAGCAACAAAAGGAAACTCATCTTCGTGGAAACTGACATCTCGTGACACAAAGAATTCCTTAGTATTAAGATCATACACTCTCCAACCTTTCTGCCCATGAGGATAACCAACAAAAAGTGGAATTAAAAAGTGGAATTAAAATAAAATAAAAAAAAGCACAAAAAGGTAAACCAAAAATGGGCCTGTGCAAGTTCCACGCTTCTAGCCTAAAGGGCTCTTGCGTGAGGGGGCGTGTTGAGATATATAGTCCCACATTGATTGGATGGGTAACTAATATGGCCTTTATAAGGCCTTGGGCACTCCCACCCCTTGAGCTAGCTTTTGGGGTGGTGACCTTAAGGTTCTTAATAGAGCTACTATAAAAGAGAATTTTTTTTTTTTTGTGATTTAAGATTTTATATTTCTGACCTACTCGATCGCTATATTCCACGCCACATTGTTCAAATGTTGACACAATGACCTAAGCAAGAGCATTGGTTAGTCTTTCATCATCATTGACGTTGTTTAAGGATTAATTTATATATCAGTGACCTTTAGTTGTATTGTAAATTTAAATTAATTTCAATAGAATTTGATAACCTCAAAGTTAAAGCCAAGGGTAAAGGTAGGCTTGTGATGCGATATGTTAACAGCCAATAGAAAATGAGGGGAGATTATTACAACTTTCGTATTACATATACGTTTCGCATAATAACTCTTTTAAAGAACTTTTATTAATACTAAAGTCTTAATGGTTGATTAATATTAGAAAAATGAACTTTTCTGTAATAACAAAAAGCACAATTAATCAAAAATGTAATTTTTAGCACGATTCGCCCCCCCCCCCCCCCCCCCCCCCCCCCCCCCCCCCCCCCCCCCCCTGAACATTAAGTTATCTTTAAAACCTTAAAATATCAGTAACGTTAATCTTCTCAATTGTCTCGGTATTACAGTTAACACTGCTGGATTCACAGTTGTTATCCATTCTGTTATTAAGTAATTATTAATTGAATTACTTCATAGCTTTCCAAAAAAGAATCACATTTCACATCACAATATACAGCAAATGCTTTAATAATCCAATATTTGATTCATCTTGTTTTCAGCAAGTTTTTGGCAATAGAATGTTAAAGTAGATGAAATAATGCTATGATCATGTTGAAAAAAGCTTTAATTCACAAACTTGTCAAAACAGTTGTGATCCATATAATAAAGCCAACGTGTACAGATATGATGGTAAACCCACATTTTCTGCCAATCATTAACCAAAATGGCACTTTATAATAAAATTAAATAAAAAGTTTGGTAATCAATAATCTCCCAGAAGTCACGCCCAACAACTATAAAACAACAAAATGTGTTTGAGAAGAAGTATCCTAAAAAAGGCTAAAAGTATATTCAATGAATACTTGAGTAACAAGGTTAAATAATTATGTAAAATGTTTATGTACATAATACGCACACGCCATGATCTGTACAAAAATATTATGTTTATTACTTCATACAAAAAA